GTGTCAACCACCAGAGGCTTTTACCTCTCCGCACCCCTCGAGGGGCCTCTCCTCCCGGTCCCCTCACCCACTCTTGGCGCTTGGGCTTCACGCACACTCAGCTGGCCTTCCCAACAGCCTCTCCCAGCTCCTCTCATAGACACGCACTGGCTGCGTCCTGAGGCCGGGAGGCTGTGCGGTGGTCGGCCCCCAAGACTGGGGACATCGCTGAAATAGCCCCCCCCCCCACGGCTTGTGAATAGGTGTCCATAGGAAATGCATTCCAACCCCATTTCTCTCCGTGACAGATCAACAACTGAAGAAGGTGCGAGTGTGTATGTAAGTTCAGCTGAGCCCCCTCTGGCTTTTGCTTCAATCAGGCCTAATGGGGGAAACGTTTACGGAGTTCAAGCCTTTTCACTACTGTTCAGCCATCAGTCAAAGCCAACAAGTTATGTCAGTTATAAAAAAGTTATGAAAAATTCTGTTTCAAAGGTAAAAGTAACCCCTGAGGGTTAAATGAAAGGAAAAAAGACATCCAGCTGCAATTGACACTGGAGAGAGCGAAAAGAATCCTATTTTCTTCTTGAACAAGGTGAAATTTTTATCAGCTGGATCCATTCTTCTCATGACTGAGGTTAAATCATTTTCCCATTTCCTGCCACCAGCTTTTTGCTCGAGTTTTGCATTATTTAGAGGGCAAGGCAACGTTTGTACATAAGGGAAATGCTTTTAAATCACATATTTAAAACTTCACATGCTACATACTTTCGAATTTAAAACAAGAAAAAATTGTAACAATATTACTCATTAATATTTACTAATAACTGTGGCCATTTGTAGTGTTAAACATGTTATTGACATTGTTTTCACTGTTATAGTGACAATACATATATATTTAAGTATGGTTTAACAAAATCTGATTCTCCTGGAATTTAGCCACATTCCATTTGTCTTATCTTAATGTGTTTAGTTGTGGTCCTTCGTAATATTGCTTACCTGAAAATGTAATCCTATTCAAAGGTTTTTGGACCATAAGAAATAGGGCATCAATTTTTATAGACTTTATATACATTTCTCAGCTTTTATGCCATCTCTCTAATAGAGGTCACAAACTAAAAGTCCTGGGCCTTTCACTTTTAAAAATTTAATAAGCTACTAGTATTTAAAAGGTAGAAAATTTTATTTTTTATATCCATCATTTATTGAAAAATTTGGCAAGTTATTAGCAAGCCCAAATTTCCACAGGACAGCAATCAGCTGAGGAGCTGGCTGGCCCATCAGGCTGCCACACCTCCCTCTCCTCATGGTCCCTCAGCTGCCAAGCCCCTGGTCAGTTGTCCATCATCCATCTACACAGTAATATGTCTTCCATTCAACCTAGTTTTCTCAAAGTACTTACCAGCCAGTTTCCTGTAGGTATTTGAGTTTATAGCTCCTGTCCTTAGTTATAAACATACTCTATAATAATAAAACATAATATGCTAATTAGACCAGATGTCCTTCCGTCCTTCTGGACCAGTGGTTCTCAACCTGTGGGTTGCCACCCCATTGGGGGTCGAACGACCCTTTCACAGGGGCCGCCTAAGACCATCGGAAAACACATAATTACATATTGTTTTTGTGATTAATCACTATGCTTTGTGTTCAATTTGTAACAATGAAATTGGGGGTCACCACAACATGAGGAACTGTATTAAAGGATCGCAGCATTAGGAAGGTTGAGAACCACTGTTCTGGACGAAGCCAGGGCTGCGAGGGAAGCCCGGGTCCCAGGTGCCAGAGGGAAGCGGGTGGCGGCAGCCGGGGGAAGGAAGGCCTACTTTTGCACGATTTCGTGCATCGGGCCTCTAGTAATTAATAATAGTGAACACTTCTATAGACGCTTTCTAAGTTCTTAACATGCATTAACTCATTTAATCCCAGAATAACCCTGGAGGGTGAACACTATCAGCATCCAATTTTACAGACAGGAAACTGATACACCAAGAAATTGAGAACTCACCCCACACCACACATTTTGTCTGTAAGGCCATCAGGCTCAGACCGGCGCTCTCCGCGATTACATTGACAATGTCCTTTCAGTCTGTTCATTACCTTCGTAAAAGAATGTCTTAGGAGTGCTAATTGTTTTCTTTGAAAAACCTAAAAAGCAAAATCTGAGTCCCAATTGGACCTTACATAGTATTTTATTTTATTTTATTTACTAGTAAGTCCATGGCACTTGATTGGACAGGCTATCCCATCTCTAACTAACGGCTTTGATATTACCTGACAGGAACTGGCAGGGGTGTTCCCTAGCATGAAGGCCCCTTTAGGGCTGTGCTCTGACAATGCAAAGATCTGGTCAAATGTTCCAGACACTGTCTTGCTAGTTTTTAGAGTGAGACTTCGTTTGATATTTTCAAACATAAAATGCTTAAATTACCAGGAAGCTGATGGACCATATATATATATGTCATTTTCAAGGAAGTAGGACTTGAACCCAGACCCATTTGGGTCCTAAATTCTGGTTTATTCTCCCATCCCACAGTGCCTCCAGGTGCGGATTAGTTGTTACTTGTTGTTCAGTAAGGCTTCTATGCACCCGGTATTCCTCGGGACGACTTGGAGGGTCTGCTTTGGAAAACCAATACTGTTTCATGGGCTTGAGGCTGAGACCATCACCCACCTGGGAGGCACATGCAGGACAAAGCCCAACAATGAACAGAATAAACGCAGTTTCCAGCACCTAATAAATTGGAACCACACTCTGAACTTAAATTAGTGCTTTCCAAATAACAGGCAGCTCCAAACGGGGAGGAAGGGCTGACCTAGGAGAGCTCCCAGGTCCTGAGTGCAGCTGCCAGCCAAGTTAGAATGTGCCTTGTTTAATCAGAACAAAAACAATCATGGTTAATAGAGCATGATTAATATTTCTTACCATTCTAGCTGGTTCCCCAACATCCTATTTCTGCCCCTATCAGAACCAGGCTGGTTCTGAGCAACCTCTGGCCTCAGCACTGGTGGCCGGACTCTGTTTTTCGTGAGCAGTTTTAACCGGCCCTGGCCCTGTCGCACTGAGGTGAGCGGCCCCCCTTTGGGGACACACTGGTGAAGAGAGCAGCCTTCTTCAGCAAATATGCCTCGCAGTTAAACGCGTATTTTTTGGTCACTCTATAAGCAGTTATCTAAGGAGGGTTTTGGCTTTATCTTTAAAGACTGAAATTTTCAAACAAATTTCATCCTACACTAGCACTTTAAAAACTGCGAAAGTAATAGAAAAACAAATTGAAACATGGATGGTCCAGTTTAGGCGACAATCCCGGATGACTGGACTGGGAGACAAATCTAGTGAGTGGAGAGCTAGCTTATCGAATTTTGTCAACCTTATGGGAAAAAATAAATTCATTGGCCTTCTCTCCAGTAATTTTCTTGTCCCTTTACATTCTACTGTAGGTGAATACTGCCCTCTTTTGGCAGAATGTTCAAACTTAAACATGTGGGGCTTTTGATTAAGACATGAAGATCAGAAGAAAAAAATTAATCTCCATGAACAAGAATGATTTATTTTAAAATAAATTAAACTTTTAAGTATTCTGGACATTGTTCATGTGTCTTTTACTGTCTAAGTAGCAATAAACCAAAAAAGCCAATTTCTTCCTTTTCACTCTCACTTCTACAATTACTATGAGAAACGTTATAGAAAACCTAAAATCAAGAAACACTTGAAGAGACTAAACACACGCACACACACACCTCCTTATTAAGTCACAAAGCCCCTACCAAAGAGGCAAAAATCAGAACCAAATGTAGGTGAGGAGATGGAAAAATGGAACATTTGAATGTTGCTGGAAGGAACATATATTATTACAGTGGGAAACACTTGCACCATCTACTAAAGGTGAATATAAACATGTTCCATGACCCAGTAATTCTCCTTTATATACACACTAAGGCTCTTGCTCACATATAGCCACGGACACGCTGAAGAATGTTCACAACTGAATTTTTTTAGGGGAAAATACATGTCCATCAACAAAATTAAAATGTGAGATGTGAATGTAAGTAACCTAACTAGATACATCATAGTTGAATCTCAGAAGGGTAAATGTGAGTGGAAAATTGCATTGCAAAAGAAAGTTTATAGTAAAGTGCATGTGATAAAAGGACTATAGCAAAAGCAAGTTCATGATAAACACAAAAGGGTTACCCATGAAAAGGGACGGATTAAGATGATTGTGAAGGAGCACACAGATAATAGTAAATCAAGTAGGCCAACCTAACAGTAGGAACACACACACTTGAATAATGTATTTTCCTTCAACATCGTTTCATTACGTTGATGAGGAAAAATAGATTCCTGGTGAGGCCACCGTGTGTGGAGTTTTCCCACTCCCTGTCCGTGTGGGTTTTCTCTGGGCAGTCTGGTTTCCTCCCACATCCCAAAGATGTGCATGCGAGGTGTATGGCATGTCTAAATTGTCCCTGTATGTGTGCGCGCACCAAGCTGCCAGGAGGCTCCTGGCCACCCACAGCCTTGAACAGGAATAAGCGGGTTGAAAAATAGTGGTCTTATTTTTAATCTTTCTTAAGTGGATGTATAACTCACATTTATCTCAATGTTTAACATTAGATGTGATTTGAGATCTATTTAGAAGTTTGGTGATGTTTTTGTGATCAAAAATAGAAGATAGAAACTTAATTTTTATCAATTAGCCTATGATAAAATTGGTTTCGTTTTATATTGTTTAGCTTAAGATCAGTTTCCAAGAACCTATCAATAACATTAAGTGAGGATTTGCTGTATTGACATGTACACTGAATTATTCCTTGTGCTTCACACATATTTTATAAACATCCTTCATATCTACTAAATATCTTATAAAAATAATTTTTTAAGAACCCTACACTCTTCAGAGGTGGCAACAGCCAAAGGGATGTTAGATGTCCAAATACAGACCACTGTAACTGTGATGCAGCATATACCCATAGAAGTACTGAGTCTTCCTACATTAAAAAAAAGCCAGGCCACTGAGAAATGGTTTCATTATATGCAATTGTTTATTTAAAATAATTTTCCAAGTCTTCCCACAATTGAACAAGTTTTGCTTAACTTTTATGCCCTCAGACAGCTAGAAACCAACACATTATTTTTATATTTTATTTTAACCACTACATGTGCCATTTCAATGCCATTTTCCTTTATTGGTACTAGAACCAAATATATAGACCAATAAGCAGTACAGATTTAAATTATTTTCTTAGTAGTTATGGTGCCATTGACAAATTCCCTGGGATTTATCAGATGCTGGACACTATTTTGAGCCATCTCCAACTAGCTGTCTGATTTAGGAAATCATGCTACCTCCCCAGGCTTACTGTCTCTTGCAAAATAATTTACTGGGTTAGATTATTTCTATTGTTTTATCTGGCTATAACAATCACATGATATGCTCATCATTTTCAATTAATTTTACTTCATCTTTTATTTGCTACTTCTCCACTTATAAAGCATAATCACCTATATTCAAGTAAACATGAATGCATTGAAAAATAAACACAAACCCAACATATTGTTAATCACTCTAATATATTCCCATTAATACATAAAAGGGCTTTCAGTTGAATTATCCGTTTTTATTTCTATTTCTTTCTTTAAAGTCAATAATAAAGTCACAGCTGTAAAATGAATGCATTTAAAATCAAAAAGGATACATTTCAATGACAAAAACATGCCATCGTGAAAACCTGCTGTACACTTTGCCAAGGTCAACAGACTAAAACACGCGATGAAAAAGCCAATCTTCAAAGTCAGCCTAGATAGAAGCTCTCTCCTGACAGTGCAATCACCATTAAGACTATGTACGTCTGCATATCTGGATCAGCTCCGAAAACCACCCATGTGTGTGGAGGGGTGCTGGGTAAAAATACCTGAGTACCAGGAACTCAAGATTAAACTTCTAAAACTAATATTCAATTCAAAATAAAATAGATGACAATTGTATAAAACTACTTCCTTGACAGAAATGGCATGAGGTGTTTAACAGTAACAGTTTAGTAATAATCTGAGAAAATTTGTGGAGATACTCCAACCCAACTCCTAGCCTCTGTCACTGGTATAAAACAAACACCTTCCATGAAATTATCTTTAATGTGACTGAAATGTTCCCATTTATTTAGGATCGTTTATGCTTAGACTATTTTAAACACTTGCTTTTAGACATGTTGCATTTCCAGAACTGATATTTTTTTGAAAGCATCTATGTATTACTAATTGAATATTTGCAGAGGTGATAATCCTTTCACTGTACACTGATTGGGTTTCCTGAAGCATATTTGATCAACTATTTTAACAGTGATGCTGATGGTAATAAATGATACTCTCAGATTTTTCATTTTAAATAATACATAATCCTTGTGACACTAATTACTAAATAGGCTACATTGCATAACTTCTTAACAAAGATGACTGATTTCAGGCCCTAGTATGATGAAAAGACACTAAAAAATGGCATTTACTACTTGTGTTATCACTGAAAAGCTATAACTAACAGTCAAATGATAGTTTAATTATGTGACTTTCAGCAAAAAAAAAAGACAGAAAATCATTATAATTTTACCAAAAGAAACAAGAGACATGGGAAGAAATTAAATGAGCACAATGTGGGTCCCAAAGATTACACTATGACTTGGAACTAGATTTTCAAAGCAAAAGGCATCTATATACAATTTCTGTGAATATTTCTTATACTACGAAAGTGAATTTCAAAGCAAATGTAGACTAGCTCAGCCAAAGATAAGCACTCAGATGAACTAGAAGTTCCATTTGCTAAAGTGCACCTGCTATAACCAACTCTGCTCAGGCCATCACTCATGCTTTTCATTCACTCACTGTGCTATCAACAGTCATACAGAAAATGGATTTTTTAAAACCAAATACTTTACACAGTGGACTATAGAAAAAACAATCCTAAATATACTATCTTCTAAAACTCCAGAGTAATATAACCTCATCGTTTTTAAATACTGAAAATGTAAAGGGTCCATACAAATTATGAGTATTAAGCATATACGTTTTACTTTAATGTTCGCTTGATGTATGCTCTTAAAATCTCTATGAGAGAAGCAGGTATTTCCCCGTGTCTTTTGGCAATAGATTCAAAAGCAAAAGTAGCAGTGCTGTTGAATTCCATGAAGCTTTCTTAAAGCTAAATTACTCAATGTTTTATTGTTATTGCACTCATATATTGCCCGGAATGCATCTATAGTAACTCAGCAACAGTGATTGCAAAAAATAGGAAGGTAAGTGGGTCTACAAAGCATTTGAGTTTCCATAGAGGAAAGGCAAACTGCAATTCAAATAAGGTTGTATATGCTTAACAATTATTTAACCTTATATAAAATGAAGTCCACCCCTCACTACTACAAATCTGTGGGGAATCAGAAAAAGACTTACAGTACACAAAGTCTTGACTATGGTTGTATTCCACTTTTGAAGTCACTGAATTAAAACAGCAATTTTTCCAAGATTTAAAGAAAAATATATTTTATAAAAGGGATTATTTTTAATCACTGAATACATCATTAGTAAGACAGAAACGTTATACTCCCCCCCCTCCACTATAATTCGCTGGTAAGAGAGATTTCTCTCTCCTTTAACTTCTAACAAATGCTACATTTTCAAGACTTAAGGAATTATCAGTAGGCATTCTTTCTTCGTGATTTAAGTTATTTTTCTCTAAAATATGTCAAGTAAGCTTTTAAAGACTCAGGGAGGGGGAGCTTCATGATTTTTTCTCTCAGTAGATTCTGAGGTGGCTCCTCTGGCTTCATGGCATCACTGTCATCTTTCTCTTCCTCTTCTTTATCTTCTTCCATTTTTTCATCCTCTTCACTGTCTAGAGGCTGAGGAATAAGCTGATTACCCACAAAGACGTAAGTGTTAATTCTCTGTTTAACTCTCTTTCTTTTCCTTTTGGGTGGAGCCCTCTGAGGAATCCCCTTGGCCTGCATCTCGTCATTTATGAAATTTCTAAGTGTGCGTCGAATATAAATACGAGCCAAGTCCTGCAGATTCCTGACCGCACAGGGGGCTATAAAAACACGGCACACACAAAACATAAAAAGAAGAGCATTATATATTATTCATTTCTTCACAGAAAAAAATGTATTTCCTGGTGAATGTTAGAAAACAGTAAGTATAAAAACTCTGACTTTCAACTAACATAGATTTCCAGGAGTTTCCCAACTGCCAGGCACCATTCTAAGAACTGAGAACAGCCCTGGCCGGGTGGCTCCGTTGATTGGAGGGTCGTTCCATACACCAAAAGGTTGCGGGTTCGATCCCTAGTCAGGGCGTGTACAGGAGGCAACTACAACTGAACAATGTTTCTCTCTCTTTCTCTCCCTTCCTCTCTTTAAACTCAATAAAACATATCCTTGGGTGAGGACAGTGGACAGTGCAGAGGTTGATATGTGTAGTTATACGTGTGACCCTCTGTATATTCATAAAATCCTTTGGAAGAAAAAATAAGAACTTATAAACAGAGTACATGAGAATTAACTAGTTGGGGGACAAGAATAGTAGAAAGATTTTTACATATTTTTTCATACTTCTTGATATTGAAATAAATCTATTTTAAAAACTCAAAGGCAACATTTGAACCGAGATTTGACTGTACTAAAATATCACTCACATAAACTTCATCCCAAAGATCTTCTGAATGACACAGTAACTCTGAAATAATTCTCAGCCCTAGCCATTCAAAAATCCCAACATTTTCTATTCTTTGATACTCCCTTGTTTCTAATGCTTCCAGTTATGAGATAAGGATTTAATGAACCAAATAATACTAGTCCTTACTCTATAAAATCTTATTTTAGATTGAAGCTTTCACTCCGTAATTACAATTAATTACCTCTAATAGACACATGTACACTCTACTTGTTTCCCAAAGACATTCTCTATATAGATTTTATAAGAACCTAGCACTCAGCACTTACATTTTAATTTGTTAACAAGATTGAAAAAGGTATTTTATTTAGGTCAAACCCCCAAATCAACTACTTTAAACCATTTTTAACCTACAGAACAACTTCATATAGCTCAATGTAGTACAGTGCCAAGATTTATGAAGTTTCTTTTGTCCCTTGTGATATTTAATTTATAAGAAATATACATTTAGCTTCCCATTCCTGACACAGGGCTCCTAAAACACCTGGAATTTTCTAAATGATAAGATCATAAAGATGAAAGGAATATCTTCTGTGTTCAAATAAGTCCCACCTGAGTTTCATTAATAAGGTGCCTTTGGGTTTCCCCTAAGCATGGTGGGCTGGTTGCCAGGGGAATCCAACCATGTGATTAGAAAGCTTCTGGGCCTATGAACCTGGAGGTGCTGGGAGGATGACATACCCTAAGAAGGCATGACGCTCTATGTCATTCTCGAATACCTGGCCCTATGCATCGATTCCATCTGGCTGTTCCTGTGTTGGATCCTTTTACAATAAACCACCCGGCCAGGGCTGTTCTCAGTTCTTCCCTGTATCTCCACTCTCCCCTAACTTCTCATCCATTCTCACAATGCCATCTTCATGTTCAGGATTCTCAATCTATACCTCCCTCTTGTAGTAAGTATACACTACTTGAGTACCTAACATCTATAATGCTAATAGAAAACACAAACATGGCCAAAATAAAATATGTGATCTTCCTACACCTATTTCCAAACCATTCCACCCCCAGTTTTCCAAACACCAATAAATGGTACCATCACCTAGCTAGCTATTCCAAGTAAAACTTAGATCGCTCTTTTTCCTCCAACACCATCTTCTATATAGTCCACTATTTTTCTACCTTCAAACAACCACCTATAACCACATCAACACTGACTCTCTCCTCGAGTATAAGTAAAGTCTTATATAATCTATCCTCTACAGCAGTGGTTCTCAACCTTCCTAATGCTGCGACCCTTTAATACAGTTCCTTATGTTGTGGTGACCCCCAACCATAAAATTATTTTCGTTGCTACCTCATAACTGTAATTTTGCTACTCTAATGTAAATATCTGATATGCAGGATGTATTTTCATTGTTACAAATTGAACATAATTAAAGCATAGTGATTAATCACAAAAACAATATGTAATTATATATGTGTTTTCCGATGGTCTTAGGTGACCCCTGTGAAAGGGTTGTTTGACCCCCAAAGGGGTCTCGACCCACAGGTTGAGAACCGCTGCTCTACAGTATAGCCAGTAAGCTTCAACTAGCCTAAAACTTATTTCTGGTCTTGGAATGACCAAGCTCTTTTCAGCCTAAATAAAGGCTTTTGTGTTTGCTGTTCCTCTGTATGGAAAATGCCACCAAGTTAATAAATTATAATTAATAATCTCACAACTATAATTAATAAATTCATTTTTGTTTCACTTGCCCCTTCTTTTCATGTTTCCATGAAGACAGTGTCTGGTGCAAGACAGGGCTTTATTAAACAGAAAAGTGAATAAATCCAATGAATATATTACTGCATATCTACTTAATTCTTCATAATTATAGAGTCCATTAAACCCCAAGCCTCGGAGTTGAAGTCACAGTTCAGTTGCAAAGGCCAGTTACTTACGGAGTCCCACAGAGTCTGGTTTGCCATTATCATTCTTACTTGGCTGCACAAGTGGAGCAAACGAAACAGCAAGAATATTTTTACTTTCCCAAGTATTTTGTCCAGTTCGCATAATTTGTGTTAACTATTTAGAAGGGGAAAAGAAATAGAATAGCTTAATTCTGGAAAAGTGATTTCCTTACAGTCACAATTTTGTTTTAACAAAATTGCCAATCATTGCTATATAATCACCTATATTTGAATGCAACCAAATTACTTTTACTTAAATATTAAGTATAAAAGAATAAAGAAGGAATCATAAATGTTGCCTGTTGAAGACAGGCACTTGGCTTCTAGGGGTATAATGCGGTCTGATGGCTTCTAGGGGTATAATTCCAATCCGTACCTGCCATTGATTCTCAAATATGTCTCACATAGGTTTGGTTGTTTGGTTAAATAAAGCATTATATTTTAAAAGAAACATGTTTTGATTACTATACCAGTGAGTCAACTTCATGATCTTTCATAATGGTAATAACATATATATTCTAATTCTAATCTCAATTTGATATTTCACTAATAAGTGTAATTATTCATAAAGGGTTTAGAAGTTGTACCTACTCAGTAAACACCCATCATCAGTCCTTGGAAAAAAAAGATTAGCTCAGGACATAGCTTGATCAAGCTAATATCTTCAATTTATATGATAAAACATTATTATGTTTTACATCAGTATAATAGTATATAATAAATATCTACCAAAACACCAATGGGAAGCCATATTTTAAATGTCCGAATCTAAAACTGTAAAGGAAAACAGAAAAAGATTGTTCATCTGGGGGTCTCAACTCTAGAAACATTCAAGTAACATTTTTCCAAGAACATTTTTCAATTAATATTTTTTATTATGTCTTTTTAGTAACCAACAAACAATTTGCACAGTGCATAATAATGGTGAACTCCACTGAGATGCAAATAATATTTTGTGATGTTAAAGGACTCTCAAGATATATAAACTCCAGAACATCATGTCAGGTCCCAGTTATCTTAGACAATCTATCTTCTGCCATACAAATCACAGGGTGTTTAAACATCTCAGATTCCTGTTAATATGAATATTAAAGATACTTTTTGAAATGCATTTTTATACATTTTTAAAGTAATTTGCTTTTGTAAGATCCACACATTTTCTGAATACATTAGTACTTCATACATTTGTTATACCTAATAATTACAAACCACAGGCAGGCAAATAGCTGAAAAATATTCTCAAATGAATCTATGAAGTACTAAATGAAGGTTTAAAAATTTACTTCTTTCTTTTTTTTAATATATTTTTATTGATTTCAGAGAGAGGAAGGGAGAGGGAGAGAGAGAGAAACATTCATGATGAGAGAGAATCATGGATCAGCTGCCTCCTGCACGCCCCCCACTGGGGACCGAGCCCGCAACCAAGGCATGCGCCCTTGACCCGGAATCGAACTGTGACCTCCTGGGTCATGGGCTGACACTCAGCCACTGAGCCACGCTGGCTGGGCTACTTGTTTCTTTAATGGAGTTAAGCAGTCCAAACAAACCCCAAATAGGATTTCTTTCTTTAGGTGTTAAAGGAATTTTAAAATGTTGAAAATTGAACAGCTAGTAGAGAGCATCACATTCAACTGAACACCTCTAGGTCAGAAAAATGAAGAAGGGAGCAGCTTGGCAAGTGCAGCGGTACCCCGTTATCCACAGGGGATATGTTCCAAGACTCCCAGTGGACACTTGAAACCATGGGTAGCATTAAGCCCTGTGTAAACTATTTTTTTCTTATACATACATACCTATGATAAATTTAATTTATAAGTTAATCACAGTAACAGATTAACAATAGCTAATAAAACAGAATCAGTCCAGCCGGTGTGGCTCAGTGGTTGAGCGTCAACCCATGAACCAGGAGTTCACAGTTCCATTCCAGGTTTCCAGGTCGAGTGGGACACATGCCCGAGTTTCGGGCAAGATCTCTGGTAGGGGGTGTGCAGGAGGCAGCCTATCAATGACTCTCTCTCATCATTGATGTTTCTATTTCTTTCTCCCTCTCCCTTTCTCTCTCTGAAATCAGTACAATAAACAAACGCTCCAAAAAACAACCAACAGAATTACAACAACATACTATAATGAAAGTTATGTAAATGTGGTCTTTCTTTCAAAATACCTATGGTATTGTACTCACCATTCGTGTTGTGATAATGTGCAATAATACAATGCCTTATTAAGTCAAGAGCCTTCACCTTTACACTTAAAGGAAGCACTTTATGGCTTCTCTTTGACCTAAACAAATTGACAGCATCACTGCTCTTGCATTCTGGGGCCATTATTAAGAAAAATAAGTTGAATAAGGTACTGCATTATCTCCTCAACAGTTGATGTGATAACTGAGATGCTAGTAAGTGACTAAAGGGCAGATAGTGTACAGTGCAGATATGATAGACAAAGGGATGAGTCATGTCCCAGGCAGGACACAGTGAGAAGGCTCAAGATTTCATCATGCTACTCAGAATGTGGCACAATTTGAAACTTATGAATTATTTCTGGAAACTTCCATTTAATATTTTCAGACCATGATTGACCACAGGTACCTGAGACAACAGACAGTGAAACCAAGGATAAGGGGGGACTATTGTAACACAAAGACTGTAGCTAAGTTTGGGTGAAAGACCAAGTCTCTTCTAATAGCAGTGGAGGGAACTTTTCTATATCTCCTCTGCTTAGATAATTAAGAGTCCATTTCAATTTTTTTAATGTATATAGATCTATGAAGATTATTTCTTCTTTAAAAATTACATTGTACCTTTCCTGGTGTTAGACACTTCCCATCTTAAACTAATGTGTTTGTTTTCCATGCCATTAAGCAAAAGGATGGTGAAGTTACCTGATCTTCTATAGGCATGACTAGAATGCCTCCAACTTTCAGTAATATTTTCATGTAGTTTTCATGGTCTTTCTGGACTCCAGCTCCACAATAAATTCGATCATACTGATGACTGTCAGATGCTATCTGGAGGCAATTGCCAACCACAAATGCAGGTTCACAGAACTCAAATCTGCATGGAAAAACAAATATATTTTAATTCATTTAAACAAAATATTAGATAAAAAATTTAACATAATCCAGTTCTTTCAAGTAGTCAAGTTGCCAAAATTAATTCCAAGGATAAAACATGAAATTTGATTTAGATATACTTATGAAGTTTAATACTGATTAAATATGTAATTATCAATGTAATATAAATATTTTAAAAACATTAACCTAAACTTTTGCCACACTGAAACCTCACTTAAGGCTTAAAAAAATGGATATAATGAAAAGCCCATCACAACACCAATCTTATGACATCACACAAATGATAAAGAAAAAGAGAGAGAAAAAAAGGCTTCACTTTCCACTGCCCTTTCAAAAAAGAACAAAAAACTGAGGGGACACCGGGAATGGGAAGGGCTGGTGCGGTATTCATCTGTGTGTGACATTTTTGTTACAATTAACAGCAAAGCTTTGTCAGGAAGATACCAGTGTGACCATATAATCTTGCACCCACTAAGATCAGGGAGATTTTCCTAATAAATTTTAGCAGAACTATGTTATAGGACTGGGACAGAGAGCAGAACGAATAATAATTTTCCTTACTGCTGCTTTGGCCCCCATGGTCTCCCTGTGCAACACATAGAAGAGAAATGGTTTCAGAGCAAAGGCATTTTATCCTGACCACCTGTTCTGGTTACAGTGTTGGTTCATGGCATAAAGAGTTGTGATTTTACAAACGTTCCTATTTAGAATTCTACTTTAGTCCTTAAGTTCTGACAAAGCTGAAAATAGTCTCTAACATATAGCATAGTTACAACCTCAATACACTAAAACATGTAATCATTTTTAAAGTTAATTAATGAAATATCCTTTCACTCTTAAGTAAATTAAAATTAATATGACCACACAGCAAAATCAGGCTATCATTTAAGGAAAAAGTAATTTACATTAAAAGTTTCAGCATGCAGTGGAAAATGACACTGCTTGAATCACAATCATTTATACTTGGTAAGCATATCCTATCCTTTGGTAATTAACAGACTTATTACGCGGTAAGTTTTCATTAAAATACAGACACATTAGGATCCTTGACAGTTAAAGAATTTGCCAGAATTACACCCTGTCCTCTTGGTGCAGTAGGGTGGGGGTGGGATGGGAAGGGTTGAGGGGGTTGGGGTGGGGGTGAGTGAACAGTGTACACCCTATAATCTCTTCTCCATATCCCCACACTAAGGTAGTGTATGCCCCATTATTTCTTTTACTGTAACTGCCTCCTCACTGCTCACACGTTAAGGTCCCTCTTCCATTATTTTGCTCCCTACAGGGCAGGCAGGATAGGTTCAAGCTCCTTAGAAAGTCATGTGGGCTCTATATGATGCCATTGTCAAGTTGTCCTTCCAGAATCATTTCCTGGCTCTGCCCTACCAATACATACTATGTTGAATTATTTGCTCCTAGTTGCCTTAGAGGAACTATTATAAAGTGTTTTTGAAACACTGTATCTGTGGATGTGCTGTTCCTTTGATAAATGCCTACAATCCCTTCAAGATACAGTTCAAATATTAGCTTTGCAATGAAATCTTATCCAACTCTTTAAGAGTTACCTCATTTTTCCACGTGCATAGCACACATAAAAGTGTAAATTAAGCTACAATAGGGACCATGTTTAATTTATCTTTTATATTCAAGACTATGTTACAACATATGATTATCTAAAATATGGCCAAAATATAATTTATATGATTTGTTGGCTTTCAAGTAATTAGATACTGTGGATCAGGTGGTTTAATCATTTTATCAAACTCACAGTAAGCATTCTTTAAAAAGAAAAAGACTATTTTCAATGAAGTTTATCTAAAATCTTCATTCATTTTAAATATTTACTTTTATAATAATTTAAGTCAGTCATAACTTTCAACATGACCATAAAATTTAAATAAAAATTTGAATTATTAAACCCGATTTCACCATTAAGTCTGTTTTAAAAGCTTCCTATTTAAAAATATGTGATAGCTTAAAGAGCTATCACCTAGAAAAACATCATTACAAGTGAACAATTTACAATTAAAACTACTTCTCATATTAGTGATATTTTATACATTCTCATCCCAGCAAAATTAATTTGCAAAAATTTAGTGCCTGATCTAAAATTAAATTTGTGACTCTGGTTCAAGTTACCTTACAGTCGTCAGCAAAATTCATTATGTCAAATTCTACTTATTGAGCACCAGTTGTGTATAAAGACTGAAAATACATGGAAACATACACGCCTGTATTTGTGGACGAAACAGCATCAAACTATCTGACTAGTTAAAGATTAATTTACAACGATGGTAAGTGCTCTAAAGGAAAGAATATGATTCTATAAAACTGAGGATGAAAGGAAACCAACAGGCCTGGGAAGTACAGAAAAATTCCCTGAGAAATGAGAAGCCATGATCTTAAAGATGAGACAGGACAATCTAGAGACACAATACCTACGAGAGTAGCCACTAGCACCATGTGGATATTGAGCCCTTAAAGTGTGGCTAATCCATACTGAGGTGTAAGAATAAAATTAACCTGGGATTTCAAAGATTCAGTAGAAAAAAAGTAAAATATATCAATATGTACTTTATATTAATGTGTGTATTTATATATGACAGATATATTTCAATAACCACATACATTTCAGCAACTGTCCTACTTATCACATGCAAATAGAGAAGCGTCAAAGACTTTCTCCTTAACACAATCATCCCTTTGAAATATTCTCCTGGTTTTTCTGCTGTCTTTGAATATTTCTTCTGAATTAATTATATCTCCATCACCTATTCCAGTACTCAAAACATTTACTAAATAAGCAAACCATACAACAAACATAAATGTTTTGTCAACTTTTCCACCTATTAACTTTGAATATGAACCCCAAGTTGACAAACTGAAGATACTAATCACAAAAATCTCAAGACAGAAGAGAAACTTGCCCAGATTTAAAAAAAAAAGTAAAAAAATAAGTGCCTATGGCACTCTGTCAACATGATAGTTCTTCTTTTACTAAATTTGTTACTATAAATAACTGTAGCTTAATGCTACAGAATGCACGTATGTTTTTTCCAAAAATGCCAAAACAAATTGTAAAAAGCAAAACTCAAATAGTAAAACAAAATAAACTCTTTCCTTTTATGAATAAATCAACTGTTCTATATTTTTAAGATCTTAAATAAGCCACCCTTATCCTAGGAAACAATTTGATGCTTTCCCTTATAATCAGATGAGAACAAGTATATTTGCTTCAATGTAGATAAGTATTACAAAGGATCATTAGAGAAAAAACAGATCTCTAAAATTATAAATAATTTCCATTAGTGCAAATGGAACATATACGTCTAACATATGCATATGGGGTCTTTACACTTTTATTTGACATATTTATATTAATTTCCTTTACCAGAATACTTAAATTTGAAAGTTGAGTTGAATTGGAGCCAATATTTCAAAAGGACTGAACTATTTCTAGATACAAAATACTAAGATTTCAAGGACAAAGTAAAATCGGGAGAAAACTAAAATATCTAGAACATAATAGTGTATTCATATACCAAACACATTACAAAAAGGTTGTAACTACCAATTTAGTAATTATAAAGAAAGTGTCTACCAGAGAGTATCCTATCTAGGGATTATTTATTATACTTACCACTATGACCTTTTACACCAAATAATACCAGAATCCTTCATATTAATAAAGAAAACAATCTCAAATTGCCTATATTTACATTTTTTTCATACATTAATAAGCTATCGATCATCTTTCCTAATAAAAAACTTATAGATGAGCTTTATATTTTGGACTAGGTATGTACTTAAGGATAATACTTAAGATACTTTGTATTCTGATATTAAAATGATGACTTTTATAACAGCATTTCATGTAAATGAAGTCATACCAATTGAACTAATAATATTTTTTCCAAAACTCTATGATGAAAAGTTGTCAGGCAAATGTTTATAGATATGCTCATATCCATAGCATATATTCATATCATATATGTAAAGAATAAATTATTACTTTCAGACATAGATGATGGCATGTTTTCAGAGTAAATTGCAAATCCTATTAATTCTTCCAATGTAGAGGAGAAAAATAAAGAAAACATTTTCTTCCTTAGGCTTTTACTATCTTCTGAAAGCTACATCTTACCTTAAGTTTCCATAGACCTCTACAGGCTAACGACATTATTTAAATCACAAATACATTTTCTGTATAATCTGGAAGACTGTAGAAATAAACTCACCAGAAGTTTTCAGTTCATTACAAAATAGTACTATACTACTTAGAGATTTACATATAAAATCTAAGCTAAAAATAGTGAGAGAAAACTCAAATTCAACTTTTTCACATTAACTACACACTAAATGAAACCTAAAAAAAAACAAAAACTGGCTAGAGGTCTACCAAATATTTCTATGTGGTTATAATTTTACTCATAAAAGTATGGTTCATGCATTCTTTCCCTAGTTTTTATGTTTGATTTAGGAAACTTCATTTAAATTTTATGTTATTCAAATGAAAAGCAGCAATCATTTTTATTCTTTGAAGAACATCTCCAAAACAATTTCCCAGATATAAATGACTTACACTCCTAAATTATACTAAATTATATCTCTAAAAATGTTATCTGTATAAAAAATAGTTCTGAAATGTATGTAATAACTACAAATTCACTTATTCTAGACTTATTTATTGATTTAAATATTAATTACTGCTTTTTACTCTCTTATGCAGAGAGGAAAAAATATTTGATATACTTTTATTAATATGTACAATGAAAATCATTTGTGAGAAAACAGAGAACACATATATGTTGGTTTACAACATGAATAATTGCTCAAAATAACACCAGGATGCTAATCACTTACCTTAGCAGTGGTTTTCTTTATAGGTGTATGTTGGAATATCTTCATCTCGAGACGGATAGATGATTTCGTTCACAGCAGGGACCTTGCCAACTTGCCCATATAATTCTTTTGATAAGCTGC